CATTCCTCCGGAATCCACCGGAATCCGCCGGAATGACCGGATTCCTGCAGGAATTAGGGGGGCACTGATAAGACCTCGAGAGGTCGGATGAATTAATACTGATTTTTAGTAAAGGTTCGAAGTGGCTCAGTTGTGTGTGGCACAACTGAGCTGACTTCTTTTAAGTTTTTGTAGTGTTTTCTCTATTGTGGCGACGCGACGCATCAGTATTGATGCGTACGCGGGAATCGCCGTAAACGGTTTTCACGATCGGTTCAGCCGAGACGAACGGTCCGCTTAGTGATTTTTCTCTCTATTATTAGATACTATGCCCGGGCCTCGGACCGCACGGCAAATCGTTCATAGTTTTTCTCTTTTGGCAGGCTTCGGAATATTTCATGAAGCTTAGTTTTCTTGGGTCAATGATGCCATGATTTGTGATGCGTTGATGCGCGTGATGCGTCTCTCCACATGACTTCTTGGATCATGCTTCGTAGCACGTGACCGAATGACTTCTCGCATCAGGTACGCGTCGAGTTTCTATGCTCGCGCGTTTATCTTTAGAATTAATATCTTTTAATCCATAATAAGTGAGACCCTGGTTTGGTGTAAACTCCAACACCCTGTGCAGGGGTGTTTTTACTCTAGAACACTCAGTAGCGTACTATTTCATGGTAGTGTAGCCTTTTATTAGACTTCAAGTATATTGAGGTGATTCAGTCACGAACCAACCACAATTCCTACTGTCTAAGGCGTGCACATTTCTCGGATGTAGACTTTAATCGACTAGACCGGGTTGCGTCTAACGATCCTTATGATCAATGTGACTGTATTTCTACTATAGGAGGTTTTATAGGAGAAATCGCTAAAATTCGCATTTTTACGGGTGTATTGTTACACTCCGTATCATCTCCCCCTCACTATAATACTGACCGTCCTCGGTCATCACTAGATCCCCGTATGAGGATGTTCCCCTCGTGTTTTTCTGGATTTTATATTGATATGTCTTCAAAAGATCACCGTCTGTCAAGCGTGTCTTTTATCTTTCGGCGTCAATTACTATTACTAGTGCAGGCGCGTTATTCTTTGAAGACATGACATCATATTCCTATTGTTGCCTAGGTACGCCTCAGTTGATTAACATTTTTTGGCGTCCATTAAGATTTTCAGGGTCGACGGGACCGAGGGATTCTCAGCGATCTTCTCCCGTAGACTATTCTTCGGAAAGTGCCTCGCTATTCCGTATGTTCCGCCTGACGTTCCTATAAACTTCGTGCTTTATGGGAGCGATTGTCACAATTTCTTTCTAACTTTCCCCACCATGCCTACTGCATTCCTTGGTTGTCGCGCTGCCGTTCAAGCGTTCGAAGTCGGCATTGACCTCTTCTCGCGTTCCCGCCTCAACGCTATGTCTGAGGCCGAGATTATGGCTACGCTATACCGCCTGCATAGTTATATGGTGAGTCTCTGTTCTTTTCTTTTATTCTCTGCTGATTTTCGACTTTTTATTGCCTTAGTTAGCATTGTTTTCAGACATCCTCGCTCGTCCTGGTGGTCCTACGTCACACAAGTCTCGTTTACTGGCGTCCGTTTACAATGCCGCCCAACACGTTGAAGAACACAACCGAAGTACTGCCTGGGAGGAATGGCTGCAAGAACCATTGGATGGTCGTGCGCTTTATAGCCCTGTAAGTAACTTTCTTCCATTCTTTCTTTTTATTTTTCTTCTAATGATTTTTATCTTTCTAGGGCGAATGCCTAGACTCCAGCTTTACCACGGGGTACATAGGAGAGGAGGACGCGCCGAGCGACCGCAGGTCTTCGTCACCTCCGGGGATCATTACTCCCCGAGGTCGAGCTCATGTCGTTCACTCCCCTTCTCCTACGGGATCCGATTCGTTGTTTCTACCAAGCCCTGGCCCAGAGTCCCTGCCAGTTTCCTCGCCTGACTCGACGCCGCCTGTCCCTGTTCGAAGGTCGAAGCGTACTCGTGCCATGGTCATGGACGAAGATTCGGATGTGGTCGAGATCATCGATCCTCCGTCTACAACACCCTTGAAGCTGGCTATTGGCCCTGTAAGTTTCTTCATTTTCCTCTGCTTAGACATTTTTACTAACTTTTTTGGTTTCTTAGCCAGGTAAACGACGCAAGATTATTGAGAAACCCTCGTCTGACGACGAGGCCATCCAACATCCCAACCGTTCCCGTTCAAGCTCGTCGGACTCTGTGCCTCTCGCTAGGCCTTTGCGTGCAGACAAGGGCAAGGCTCGCGCCAA